AATTCAGAACTAAAATTATTTTCAAGGGCATTCCCTTTCCTCTATTAAAAACAGATCAAATATTTTAGAACAAGGAAATTATTCTGGCCATATAAGGGAGTTAATTAAAAATATTCTTCAACCTGCTATAAAAAGAACTGCTGTAAGGACACACTCATCAGCCACTGCAATGTCCCTGTAACGCACTCCCAGAGCGGAGGACTCACCATTTAGACAGCATGAAGTCCCATCCCCCAGATAAGCCTCTTCTCTACCTCCCACCCTAGTGCTATTTGACTTCCAAACAGCTGGTTTCTAGCCTCTCTCCACCAAAACACAGCAAAGAAAATGTCTAACGTGCAGATTAAATTTCTGTCTTGAGAACACAATATTCATCTTTATGTCAACTTCTGACCGCTATGACAGCAAAATTTCAGTAACAGCCAATGTGGAAAATTCCATCCACTACCTAGGTTTGGCAATTTTACATTTATTTTTAAAAATATGTTGGTGCTCAGATAATTTGAAACAAATGAAAAACAAAACAAAACAACCCAAACCACTTTCTCCCAAGAATTTATTCTTACAGAAAGTACAGCTGTAAAGCTAATTATAAAGCTAATTCTGATGCGATATGACTTCAAGGTATGTTCTTCTATACTTGAATCAACATGTAGAGATGGACAGCATGCTGCAGTGAAAAGCATGCAAAAGTAATTTGAATATAAGCTTTTTCTGAAAATGAGAAATGACTGCATGTCAAGCTACAAGAAAGAAGTGGGGGGCGGGGGGGGGGGGTGGGGAACAAACAAAAAACAACCTAGTCAAATAAGGCTTACCACTAAGCTTCTTCAATGAAGTATTCTTTTCAGGACCATTAGCAATTAAAACAAATCCCCAGGGAAGGTATTATCTTTGGGCTGGTGCCTTTTAAAGACTTCTAAACCATTAAAAGGAAGTTTTCCATTACATCAAGTTCTCCGGTTGCATTCTCTTTCACAAGTTCCACAGCCTGCAGTGTTTCCATACTGTCTCTTCTTTCTCCCACCTTTGTTGTTTTCACACAGTAACTTTGTTTTACTTGCTCATTTCTGTTCTCTTCAACACCGCCTCCTCCTTTCGTACTCTGAGATAGTATGAGCACTCTCTATTTTTAATACAGCATTAAGAATATCTAAAATTAATCCAGTTCCAGTGAAAGAAGCTCTATGGTTTATTATGAATTTTGCTTCTTAGTTCTTGTCCTTACTTCTCTTCCTATTAAGCTGGCCATAACAAGGTCATTTACTTCTAATCACTAAAGCAATACAAAAAGAAAATTTTGTCACTCTGACTTTGGAAGACACCTGGAAAGACACTTCTACATAAATCTCCTTGACCCCTCTCCATCACAGCTGGCACTGATAACCTGTTCACAGTAAAAAATTGGCTAAAGTCCAACTTTCATTCCTGCTTTCAATATTGGGTTTGCAGTCAGGAAAGGAGTTCTAGGTGATAAACCTAGAGGAGGAAAAAAAAAAAGGGGCTTTTGTATCATGATGGTCCTATTTCTAAATAAATACTGATTTCATAGCAAGGTGTTTCATAAATCAGCGAAAAATGGGGACAAAAACAAACTACTGGACTAAAGGAGAAGGGGAGGGAAAAGAAGATTCATAGTGCTTTGTGTAATCTCTGAAGCACGTGAACTGGCATTACTCCTCCATCCAGGCAAGTATTAGAGCATGGAGCAGATTCATAATAAACAATGACAAAATATCCACTGTACTTGAAGGCCTAATCCAGTAACACACAGAGCCAGGAGGATATCCTTTACCTACTATTTAGTGCAGAATAAAAAAGTAAGGAAGGATTGACGTTATCACAGCAGCCTACTTCTACTCTCACTACTTAACACGAATACTTTGATCTGTCTCTCCCTGTCCAAATGCCTGGCTCCTCCCAAAATCAATGGGTACAGGAGAATGGCACAGTGATGATGCTGGCATAGAAGTAAACTCCCAGTACCAGACAATCTTGTTCAAAGCCTGACTTCACCTTGGTCCTAACCTATTCTCTAACCCAGATGAGCAATTTTCAGAATACTGCACGCTTGAACACTACAGAGCTGCAGCGGATAGCTCCAGGTGACAGATAAGCATGCTGTAACCGCTGTAGGCACTCAAAGGCCAACAGACTTGCTTTACACTCCTCCACCGGGGGCTGCAACACCTGCACCTCCCCTACCTCCTTGTTCCCACATTGTTGCAGGTAAGGAGCATCATCTAACACCGAACACCATTCTACAAGACATGCTGCAGCCCCTCCGGATTGAGATGGACGTTGCGCTTGAAGAAGAGGAAAGACACTATGGAAGGCATGGTTGAAAGCTAAAAGGACAAGCAGCAACACTTAGCCTATCTCCGGAGGTTGATAACAAGCAGTTCTTGAGAGGTGCCAGGGGCAAAACTATTCGAAAACAGCCACCGTCTCCCTCTGGAGCCTTCAAACCATACTTCTGGTCAGCAGGTTGGCCAACTACAGGTAAAAATATATATTTACTTGGCTAAATGCCTCAGTAAGCTTTGGTGACTGCTACTTAAGCCCAGGCTATCAGAATCCCTCCTAGATGCTCAAGCTGGTCATACCTTTTCTTCCCAGTCCCAGCTTCAGAGAGCAAGGCAGACAGCTGACACAGACTTTCTCCGTGCCACTCCCCCCGCACCCAGTTCTAGTTTTAGAAGTTCTAAACTAGATTTTCCACACTCCCTTTCCCATTGCATTTCCTCATAGATCACTGGACACAGCCCTCATTCCCAGCAAGGAATAGTTATTTTGTTGTTTGAACACCTGCTGCTCCCTTCTTTTTTGCTACAGGAATTCATGTGAATTAAGTCATTGCCTTTAAAACAACATCCCTTGTATATGTGTGCATTTTGAGGATGAGAGGGGAGGGGAAGAAAAGGGCATCAACAGAAAGCCAGGACAAGAGCATGGGTCTGGACACAACTCTAGGCAGAGCATTAGGACATGGTATGTTGATAGTCTATTCAGTAAAGGCTAAAGCAAAGCCATCCATCTAGCAGAGATATTGTAAATTATAGAAGCTCCCATTGTAAATGCAGTAAAGTTACAATTAATGGTACATTTAAAATCTCAGACTTAGGGCAGTAGCACATATGGATTACTTAACATCTCAGAACAAAAATGATCACCGAAACACCATGAACAGTTCTGCCTTTCAACAAATGTCTTGATTCTAAGGTCAGAATAACGAAAGAAACTGTGAAGTTCAAAAGTAGGGTACCAGCATCTTAAAGTCCTTTTCTAATCATTAAACAGTTACGTTCTAGTTTAGTGAAAATGTGAAAATCTGTTTTAATTGCATAAATTATTCTGTACTTGTTAGAACTACTGAAGTGTACCAACAAAGTATCTGTGAAGATTTTTCTTCACATATTTCCTTAATATTAACAGCTTTACAAAAGGAAGGAGTACCGATTTAATATAATGATATAGCTAAGTGCTAGGTTGAAACTCCTTACTCATTCTCTTACTAAGGAATGAATAAGCATTCTCAATCCACAATTAAAGACTCAGGGTGCCCATTTCAAGCCAAAATACAGACCTTAATCAGCAAAATACTGTAACGTGTCCAAGTACAATTTAGAATCACAATTTTGCTCTTCTTGAAAAATGATAGGACTGAGACTTTTAACAGATATCAAGTTGGACATGAAAAGGAAAGCTGACTTATACAGGAACCAACTACTTTTTAAAATCTTGGGGTTTAGAATTCTACTCAGATTTTACATGGTATAAATCTTTTTTAAAAAGCCACTGAATTTAAAAAGAACTAAAAATACATTTATTTTGAAATCAAATACTTACCTTTTCTCACATAATTGTTGGGGATTTTGCACATCTTTACAAAAGATTAATTCTTATTGCCATGTTTCTAGTTTAGAAAAACAGTATCTGAAAGAAGCCAAAGTTCTCAAACTCAAAATACCAGTACTTCAGTAGCGTTAATTTCATGGGCTCAGTTATTTGCACATGTAAATTATCAAAAACTAGACAGTTCTTTAGATACAATGAAATCTTTTTTGCTCTGAATTAAATGCAAGTCAGACTACTGCAATATTCACTCTACACAAATACATTTACTGATTTAAACTTCTGTTCAAGGAAACAGCATGTACTCCATAAATAGATTTGACTAATTTGGTTTTTGTATTTTGCACTTAGGCACATTAAGAAGTTTCCTAGTTTACAAATTACTTGCTAGTCTTAAGATTCTTAAATATTCCTGTGCAAGACAAGAATTCTAAAATTGTTTTAACTTTTCAAATGTGAACAATTATGACATGTCCCTTATGTTAGAAAATTTCATACTGACCTCTACGTGGGTACCAAAAGACTTGTATTCTTTGAGCAAGCTGGTTAGCAGTAAGTTACAGGTCATTCCCTTGAATACATCAGCTACAAACAGAATTTGCTAGTATACTTCACAGACACGAACTCCAGAATATGGAATCAAGCAGAACTTTGGCTGTTCAGCTAAGCACCTTCAAAACAGCAAAATCTGGAACTGTCACCTTTGAACATGATCACTAGCTGAAATCTACAAGTTAATAGATGAGGAAGAGTCTCATTCATCTACCTACCCCAACTTTCTACTCATTCCTGTCTAATTCCTGCATGAATTAATCTTGAATGATGTAACTTTTTAGAAATGAAATAGCACTTTTGAAAGCCAAGAGTCATGTATACAGCTAACTTCCATCTTCATCAATTCACAAGGTGCCCGATTCGCTAGAGAGCCACTGGGGATCCTAGTGGTTGACGATGGGAAAGAAAGTCCATATACCATGTAAAAGGAAAGCCAAAATATTTTTAAAAGCAGTTTACCCTGGTCTTTCCACAGAGACATGCATTTAATCACAGAGTAGAAAACTTATCCCCCTCCCAAAAATCAATTTTTGTTTTCATGCATAAAAAAATAGGGCACTTGCATGCATAATCAGCATGAGCCTTCTTACCCTTTCGTCCCATGATTGAGAAATCAATAGCAAACAATGCTGCACAGGAAGGTTAATCGACTGATAGGAAAACCAGCTGCAAAGTGATTTCTGTAAATAACAACGACAGCCATATTTTAATAAAACCTGAAAAAACTATTAAGCTACACTTTAACATTTGGTGAACTGTCCATGTGTAGTTTAAAAGCACATAAAGGCTTTGATGGGGGCAGAATTAAGTTTATCTCTAAAGCATTTGATTTCCTATGTTATATGCCCAGATTGTCCACACATAAATGTGTGCAATAAAGTCTTCAGGTTTTGACAAGGAATGTATGAAACAAAATTCTTGATTTCTTGGCTATACCAAAGTGTGTTCCAAAACAAATGGAAAGAATGAAAGGAGAAACGATGTTAATGATGCTAATAGACATTATTTGCAATGTGTTAATATGAGTGATTTTCACTTTCTATGGAATTGCTCCTAAACATTAACCTTCCCAACTTGAGTTAGGATGATGCATACAAAGAGAGAATTAACAGCTAACAAAAAAGAACAAAATGAAGACTTATTCAAAATTAACAAGTCTTAAAGAAATCCCTGCAGATTTGTTAAAGAATATGGAAGCAACCAACCTGTTGGCACACAAAGTTGCTTAGGGTATCATGAATGAAATAAACAACATGTACAAAGAGCTACAGTTTTCCAGCTACAAGTTCCTGGTTTTTTTTCTTAGCTTAATCAAAGGATACATTTAGAGAAGTTACTACTTTTTCTGTTCAGTGTAGAAAAGACAATCACCTAAAAATCAGCTGAAAAAAATCTGTACAGAATTGTTTATAAACTGAAAGCATTTATTGTATACTGTTATGTAAAGAATCCATTATATATTTTGTGACCATAGTATTATAGTAGTTACAGATAATCTGAAACACAGTTGAAAGATGGGCTTGATACAGGGCTGCTTGTGTTTCTCATCCGCTAAGGTACTAGAATCAAGCAGACGACAATGATTTGAGATACTCCCCCATGTAACTATTCCGTAATAGCCTAAATATGAAAATTTTATAGGAATATAGTGTATTTATTTTAACAGTATTCTAAGTAGTCAACAATACTGTCAGAAAACTAATAGAGTTTCTACTGCATATAAAATAAATTAAAGCAATTATGAAAAATGCTTCATTAAGTGGAAGGTCCCATTTAGGGTTTTAAAGTATCAAGGGTACATGAGAAACATACTCCAGATAAGGAAAAAAGTACATTAGACAGAGAAAGTTATTAATTGGAACTATGGCTTAATTTTCACTAAAAACACTAGAATCCATGAAACATGAAATATTTATATAGACAGATTTAGGAATACATCTCCAGCCACCATGGGTATTTTAGAAATGTATTTCATAGGGAAAGAAATCTTCCCTTCTCATTAACAATCTTGTTATTACTTACTTATATACAGAAAAAAAACTAGAATAGCAAAAGATAAATCCATTTCCCAAAACTGTTTTGAGGGAAGAAACCCAATGAGGAGACTATCTGCCTCTTAAAATGAGTTAAAAACATTAAATAAAAGTTAAGAATTCACTCATTTCAAATTCCATTTCAAGTGCTGGTTTCCTTCCTACACTTGGCAAGGAAGCACTATTCAAAAAGAAAATTATAATTTTTAAAGTTTGTTGGGTTTGGAGTTTTTTTTGGGGGGGGGGGTGCAGTTTGTTTGTCGGTTTAACAGGAAGCAACTTAACTGAAAGCAGTAACATCCAAGAACAAATAAAAAAGACTATTCAATTGTTCTATTCACTTTCATCTCACACAAACTAGGGAAACCACCAGTACACACTAACTGAAGACTAGTAGTCTCTGCAAATACAACTGGCAAAAAGCCACATGGTGTTTGGAAAGCTGAGGAAACAAAATGTTAGGTAGTTTAATGAGAAGCAAGCAATGCATTGAAGGTACTTGGAGAAGCATTCTGAAGTTACTGAAACAGTCACTTCACTGTAACCAAGAACAGGCCAAATCATGGAAGATCTTCGACATAACTGGTGCATGTCTCTCTTAAATCAGAGTGGTCTCATTCTAACTGGCAATATTTGACAGAATACCATAGGAGATGTTTATATTACTAAATTTCACAGCAGTAATTCAAGGGAAGAATGTGGGAAAGTTACATTTGTCAAAATCCTTATTTTTATTTATTTGGTCTCTTAATTTACATGTTATAGTCAGTCATACAAGGAACTGCTAATCAGCAGCTATAATCAGATTAACGTAACAATCATTATTAACAAAACCTTGAAAAGCAAAGATGTAATTAAGCATGGTAATGGCATAAGTAACAACAAGAGAAAAGAATAAGGAAAGAAAAAAGAATCACACACATAGCTACCACAGGTACCACAGGTAAAATACATTCTTATAGTCAGCATGTGTTCTCACCTGTATCACATATCATTTTTCTAATCCAAGCAATTTCATTTTAGTATAAAATCTGCCTTTAAGTAAAATATTTAATTGAAGTCAGGGAATACAGCCTGTAAGTACGTTAGCTGTTTCTTAAAAAAATCATTATCTACCAAACTGTGTTTCAAGCATCTGATTAAGTGTGAATATCTGGAACACAATGTCCAAAAAGAAGAGAGTCTTAAACAAATGTTTTGATATATGATTTAGCTATGCTTTTTTCCTTAAATTATCTGCACAAATTATTGAATAGGGAAATTGAGACCAAACTTGTGACAAATGAAAAACACATACTGCCTGTACTGCAAAGGCTATCTGGTTACAAGTTCTTTGGTTTTGTTTTTAAATAAAGGGACTAATTAATCTTTTAATCCATGGTTTTTTTGTGATAAGGCATAGCTAAATCGGTTAGTAAAATAGCTGTGGCTCAAATCAATCTACTCATGTTGTAACGGCAGTGAGAAAGCAAATGTGTTTTCTCAACATTTCAGAACTTGCATTTCAACTTCAGATGAAGACACCATGTTTGTAAGCAAATCTTCCATCCATGCTCATGTTATTTGCACAAGAGGAGCTACATATAAAGTTATAGCTACAAAGAACATAGGGAAAAGCAATGCTTTGGCAAGGTTGCTACAAGTGCTGCTACAATTATACAGCATTACACTTCCACTACAGACTAGATGTCAATATAGATGCCATGTCATGGCTAGGCAAAACCAAGCACTTTTACATCTTAAGAGAGGAGACTGAAAATTTTCTGTTTATGGGCTATTACTGTACTGAAACTAAAACCTTAACATTATTTCATTAAGGACTCAATGCAATGCTATACCCCCATATTCTTAGATGGGATCACTGAACAGCAACATCAATAGAAAATTTGATAATCCAACATGTAACGAACAACTACTGCAGAGACCAGCACCCATGACTGAGATGAGGTTAAATGAGAACATTACCTTTGGTTAACTGCCAGTGTTCATCTTTCTCCCTCTCAATACCACATCCCAGTTCTGACTACATGTCTATTTTTTGGACAGTTAATATTGAGGGAGATAAAAAGTATATTGTCCTGTGAACATTTTGTGTACAATAACTTAAAGACTGATTTCTAAAATGTCTCTAGAAACAGCTAATGTCCCCAGAGAGACTAATTAAGTCTCCTTGTCTAGTCTTTCCATAATACCAGTATCTTGGCCTCTCCTGACCTTCCAAACCACCACTTTTAGACCTAGATATTCCGTAACTACTGTACTGCAAAAAAGGGGTAAAAATATTACCAGGAACTGATACAGAGACTCAAGAAAGCAAGCAGGACAACACTGTAAAAGGGAGGTGGTCAGTATGACCCAAAAACTCCATCAAATTTTCCTTTATGCTAGATATTATTATTCTACTTCATTTATAAAGAACTTGTTCTAGCATGACAGAAATCGGGTTTTTTTGGAAAATATTTACTCTAACAGCCTTTTCCACATTTTATTCCAAAAGGTGCTCAACATACTTCTTGATGTGTGGGATGAAAGAACTCAGTGTAAAAAAAAAACCAAAACAAACAAACAAAAAAACCCAGCCTTTACAAACAGCTGAGTTTTTCCAAGGACAAATACTGTTAAGATTTCAAGGTAACACTAAATAGTAGAAACCTGTTTCGTCAATATGCTCTGAAAAGAATCCTGAGGAATCTCTAGAGAATCTTAAATTAGCAGGCAGAAGCTTTCCCTTTCACATGCAACCAAGTTGAAGTCTTGAAGGCTATCTCCGTGCATGTTGATAAAAAGCACAACTAGCCACAATGTGATGCTTGCTTGCATTAAAATCTAATCGGACTTCTTCATCACCACAATTTTTGGAAGAAAACTATTAAGACAGTACTGTTATTTTCTAAGAATTGCAATACACACACATATGTTAGGTTACCTTCTTTTCACCCATACACTTAAACTCATTAATATACACAGAAGAGAAATAAATGGCTGCATAGTTCTGAATGTCTCACTACAGATAAATATTGCAATCGTTGTTTTGGTCTCCTTTAAGTTCCATCTGACTCTGTAGTAATGCAGACTCTACATGCATTAGGGTAAATAGTGTTAATAATGACTCTGAATATAAGCATACTTGGTTTAGAAAAAAAAAATCTTACTTTTCCAGTTTAATTGTTTAAAAAACCCACACGCTCAACCACAGCAAAAGTGAGCATCATGATACAGGCCTTAATAGTACAAAACACTGCAACTGAAACACAGCAGCAGTTCACTGTATTACAAAAGTTGAACCATAGTGCAGCTGGAACAATTTATGCCAGCTGCTTCTAATGTAAATATAATACATATATATTTGCCACCATTTTGTTACAAAAACTCATGTCCATATAGGGGAATAATTTCAACTATTTACCACAAAAGCAGAAAACACCTAAATACTTACAGTAAGGTATTTCACACGACAGTGGTTCAAACAACACAACACAGAATTACTGTAAGACGTTTTTAAGTACCTGGTAGTCACAGCTTATTACAAATCTTAAGTCACCACAAAAAAAAAAAAAAAAAAAGCTCAAACATTTCCTCATGAAATTAAATATTTGTGAAATTCGTTACAAACCTATAATTAAAGTGCACCCAATATGATTGGTACTGTAACTTTATGAAGACTTCTTTATCCTCTGGATAAAGCAGACAGCTTTATCCAAAGACTGATGTTAGTAATTTTACTAGACACCATGCATGATCTTTCTAAATAGAAAAATTAAAAAAAATTTAGTTGGAATTAATATTATTATAATACATTTCATAACTTGAACCTTTATGTTAAGAGAAGTTTGCTACTCTGCAAGGTAAATAATTTGATTCTTGGAAACATCTGCCTCAAAAATCTCATCACTTTATATCCTAAATAATAATTCTATCTTCTATAAACGGTATTTGTAATTTTCCAAAGCTAAGATTACAGCTATATCAGAGTATCTTTTTATTTTTCAAATACAACTATTTCAGAACATACTTTAAATCACAAAATTATCAACGTTAAACTGTGAACTTCTTACTGAAATGAAAAATGCAAAGCCCATACTAGGTTCCTTTGAAAAATATATAGAGATTTACAAAGGCAGAGGCTGGATAATACTGAGATCTTAAGTATCTTAAAAATGACAGCAAGTATCATAATCTGGGGTTTTTTTTCCATTTTAATTTTGGTAGAATTTTTAACCTCCAAAGAAAATACTGTAATAGTAAACACCCCTAAATACCATCTTAACGTACTTAAGGTAACAATACTTACTGCGAGGCATTGTTAATCAGGAATCTGTCTTCTATTTTGCAAAAATACAGTAAGCTATAAAGAAAAAAAAATTAAGTCAAGACAATAGTTTTAGGCAATTTACGTCCAAATATACATAGAAACTTATGCAGAATGAGCCAAAGTCACATTCGTCAGCTCCAATATCAGAGGCTGTTACCACAGAAACCCAGATATCATTTTATCTGACCAGACTATATGTAGGTTTTTCCAGTTCTTAAAATTTAGTCATTCTGTTCTTGCATTTGATGCCCGAGTAAACATTTTTCTCTGTATTTATTGGTATGACCTTTCGAACTGCCGCTGTTTACAATGCTAAATGGCGTGTAGCCCTACATGATACTACTACTTCAAACGTAAATCACAGCCCTTCTCTGTGAAAATGCCCGTGAAAGGTTTCTGTCCTATAAAAAGAAAAATGATGTTGAAAAATCTGTGTGTGGCATTTTCTAGGACATTTTTCTCCCAGTATCAAAACATATAGATTTTAGATCAGAGAGCAAACTACTACAAACAATAGCTGCTCAAAGGATTTTTGATGCAATTAGGTATTTTCATACAATTAACTCAACTGAAGTTACAACAACCTATTCTGGGGATAAAAATAGCCTAATCTACCATCTAATTAATTAGTATTAAAATGCAAATCATCTGAAGATTTTTCTATACTAAACCAGCACATTGGGATTTTATTAACTACCAAACGCAAACTCCCTGCAAATGTACCTTTTCACTAATATGAAAAAAATCTCAGTTAAAGAGATTGAGCGTTACTGTTTTCAATGATAAAATTAAAAAATTTTAAAAATCAGCTAATAGTTGTTTATATATGTACACCAAAACCCTATAATTCCAGACAGTGATAATGTGAGAATAAATATTTTATTTGGTCACAAAATATGTTCATAGTTGCTAAAAATAAACTTTATTCTCATTGTGTATGTATTTCAGTCAAAGGTTCCAATTTGCTAATAGGCAACCGTGATTAAAAACAGTGCTTCAAAGTAATTTATTTAAAATACCCTATCCTATCAGAAAGCTCTATGTCCCTCTCCAAGGATGGGGTTAGAAGCAGCATAATTTTATAAAAGGAACCATCTCCTGTGGATTGCGATGTTCAAGAGACACATGGAAAAGTGAAATATCTAATTCGGAGTGTAGTTAAGAATTTAGCTGAGAGACTACAGAAGACAGATTTACTGACATATTAGAACATAAAAAGAGCCTGATGAGAAGTTCAAGGGAGTCAAGTGCCAGAGACTCAGAGCGTTTTACTGACCAACACTAGCAATCAGGAATTCAATGAATTTTATTAGAACATTATCACTGTTGCTGCTAGCAAAATCAACTAACTTCACAAGATATTAATGCAGAAATTACTAGAAAAGTTGTATAAGCAACTAAGACAGGTGTTCAAAGTGAAGATTCTTGGGTTTGTTTTTAAGTAGTTCACTGGATTTCTAATCATTTTATGACCTGTAACAGGACCAAAAATTCAATATGAAGGTGGCCTGGCTTCTATATGCAGAACAAACTACACAATTTCCACTTCATAAAGGTTCAATCATTGGCTCATTAGGCCTAGGGTAAAGTTTAGTTCACAGATGCTGTTACAGTAAAGCAGAACTAAACTAAAATAAGAAGCTTCCCACCATGAGTCTGCTCTGCTGTTTGTCACTGAATTAAATTTTACATATCAAGAGGGAAAAAAAAAAATATCCAGAATTTGATGAAGTAGAACTTGGGTACAGTTAAAAAAAGAGACATGGCAAACCATGAGATATAATTTAGTTTTCGTAAATAGTCTAATAGTTACTATTTAACATATTACTTGTCATTCTGAGATATTTGACAGATCACCAGAAGCAAGTTAAGGATGTTATGTATCTGTACAATGTCTCCTGCACCAAAGCAACTGACTCCTGGATATTGAAGAGGTAAGTAAGAGTCATGCCTACTTGTCTGTGGAGGACTGAAAGTAATTTTGTTTTCCTAAGGATATAATAGTAATTCTAAACACAGGTATAATCAAAGGACAATGCTAGTGTATGCACCTGAAAAGGCAGATCAGCACTTGTATGACACATAAGGGTCCTTTTTCTTAACAAAAAATTTGTTTAGTTTTAAGGAGATTCTACACAATTTGGCTAGGACAAGGAAATCCAAGATCAATTTATTGTTCTATCAGATTCAAGCAGCACTAACAGGAATAAAAATATACTTTGTTCTAGTTATTCGTTCTCATCATCTTCCTCCAGTTATATGCTTACATGTGACTTTTTTGTCATTACTTTAAATAACCTGGGATCTGAAATTAATGGATAGTTTATAAGCAGAAACTATTTCTTATTATCAAGAGATTCTATAAATGGGACTGAAAGCCAAACAGAAGAGTAGATATCTTTTTCCTGTCTGCTCTAAAACAACAGATTTCTGTAAAAGATCTAAAATGGAAAAGTGTATATATCCTTGTGCTACAGGTAAAGAAACAGAAAGTCAGCATAACTGAGGTCTTGTATTTTCTTTTAATAAGTCCATCATTATGTTATTCTATTATGCAACACTATAAATTATTAACTTGATTTTGAGTATGGAAAATGAAATTGCCAGCTGGGCACCTACCCATTCCTCCAAACTAAGCCAAAGAAGAGTACAGGTTTAAGACAATCCAGGCAACCCAGCCAGGCAGGCAAGAGCTGAAAAATTAAAAACACACTGCACATTAAGTTTTTACATCACTTGGTTCCCCACTCATATATCCTATTTGAAAAATTAATCAATGCCTTTCATTTTGAAGGTAGGCAAATGGCTAATGCAATGCAAGATTAATAAGTCACAGGCTCACTCCTAAATATAGACAGTTAGTCTCCAACAACAATTTCCAGAATCAAAAAAATGCAATATAAAATGGATTTACATAACACAGTGCAATTCTGTGAAAGTACCTGATTTTATTTTGAATTAACTTTCTCAGGTAGAGAAACAATGCCACACATAAGCCTGGCTATATTAACGTGGCTACCCTGTTCTCTCACCCAAGAGTTCACGTAAACAGGCACATCTAAAAGGCCAATTGTCCTGCCTCACCTTAGAGAATTCAGTCTTGAGCAGATGGTTTTAGGACAAGAAAAAATCTGCACATTAAATAAGTGTTCCTTAGCAATCCTTCCTACAATCTCAAAGGCTAGTTTAACCCAATATCCATTTCATTGGCAAAATTAAAAGCAACTTTCCTATGACTAGATATATATGTGGCCAATGGTGGGTTAAAAATCCAGATAGATACTTTTTGCTCTATTCCAACTACAGAAAACTTTATGTATTAAAAAGAAAAAAAAATCTTCAATTTTTTTTTTGAAAATCACACAGTAATTTTACAAGAATTACTTCACTGCAATTAGGTTGGGCAGTTAAAAGCCACTAATATCAACCAAAGCTGTTTCTAACCTGTACATCCGACAATTTAGATTTCATGATTAGAAGTGTAATCCCCTTTCATTATACTTTAAGTTCAGCTGCCAAGTCTGATTAGTTTTCTAATGTCTCCTTCCACTTGCATGTAATATAAAATCTGTTTATTCTTTTCTCCTGAACAAGTTTGGATCAGAAGTAGAGAGAAGTTAACGTTCATCATTAACTGCAAGCATTTTCATAACACGATGCCAAACTTAAATATTTAATTTTAAAAGTTGTTTAATTACAAATTATATTTTAATTCTCATTTTTGTGATTTTTTTTTCCTGAATCAGAAATAAATCCCATTCTAGCAGCTTTTTTTTAGACAAATATTAAAAGGCTTAAATAAAACTTATGCGTAAGGCTTTACACATATCAGGGCATTACAACCAAGATTTCAGCCCCAAACCACCAATTTCTCAGGGAAATTTTGGCACATGTTCAAGAGCATCCATATACCCAGTCTTCCAGCAAGATGCCCTGAATACTAAAGTTACCCAAGAAAACATTTCAAATTATTTTGAATGTGTCACAAAGGCTTCAGGAAGTGGAAGATTACCTACATCTTCCCAAAGCCTTGGCTGTTACTTCGATTTTAGCTTACCTACTCGATTTGCACAGCAAACATCTGATGTAGCTTTACAAAGTTTAACATTTGGGCTAATAAACTTGATTTTGATATAGGAATTAAATCTCTGGTTCTAAGTTACAGGCTCTTCCACAAGTTCTCCAACAGAGCACAGAGATCTCAATCGACGCCAGGATCTTTTTTCTTCCTAGTATCTCAGCTCAAAGTACCACGGGATACCTCCCTAGATGTATTTAGCTTAACGAAAAAGAAGTTGTACTATAATTAGTTCTCAGTAACAGGATTTGTGAACCTCCACCTCAATTATCTAAAGTACGGCTCCTGCTGCACAATTAACTTTAAAGTAAAAGATGAAGCTATTCAAGAAAGCTCGCAGTGTAGTCCTTTTGTAAATTTGCATTGTGTTCGGTTAATGCTTAGCAATACCTCGCTGCGTTATGGTCCATTTGAGGAAAACCAGCTTAGGGAAATCCCAAAGCCGCAGCCCTCCACCGCTTCGCTGCTTTCAGACTGATGCCAGCGGGACGCCTGACCCCATCAGACACGACCGACAACGAGGTTTTGATTTATGACTGCCTCACGGAAGGCCTCTACCTCCGGAGGAGCGTCCCGCAGGCTCCCCTCAACGGTGGCAGGACCTCAAGCCCCCTCCTGGGAAAGGCAAGGGGGTGGGGGGGGTCCCGCTCGCTACCACACGCCTCTCGGGACAGCTTCTGCGGTGAGCAGCCCGCCCGGACGGACGGACGGACAGCCCGCCGGCGGGGAGCAGCGCTCAGCAGCGCCCACAGAGGCGCCTCCAGCCGGCTGCCCCGCTGACAGCGTGCGGGGCGCCGGGTTGCGAGCCGAGGGCCTCCGGCTTCTTCTCCCGCCGGCCTCCGCCGGCCGCCCCCGCCGCCCTGAGGGGTCCCGCCGCGGCGGGTCGGCCCGAGCCTCCCGCTGCCCCCCCCCCCAGCGCCCGCCCATCTGGCGCGTCCTCCTCGCCCCCAAACGCGGAGAGCGGGGAAGGGAGCGGAAGGACGGGAACAGGAGACGGCTGCGAAGGTGAAGACAAGCAAAGGGACGGCTCCCCGCCTGCCCCGGACTCACCTCAGCCACCTCTCCGACTCGCTTTAGCGGCCGCCATCTTCCCCCCACCCCCCCCTTAAGTTGCCCGGGGCGCGACGCACGCCGGGAGCTGTAGTTCTGCGAGGAGCCGCGCCGCGTCCTTTCTCCGCCCATCCCTCCCCACACACGAGGGACGACGAGGGCCCGCGGCGGCAGAAGGCGCTCCCGTGACACGGCGCGGCGGCCCGGGGGCAAGGGGCCGCCTGGGCAGGGCGGGAGCGCCGCCGGGGAGGGCGAAGGGCGCCGCGGGCGGACACAACTCCCAGCATCCTTTGCGGCGCAGACTCCCACCCCCGGCTCGCCCTGCCCCGCCCCCGGGC